ACATAATATAATATTAGTCCAAAAATCCTATACCTTACATATAAACAAATATTTATTTATGTGTATGGAATAGGGTTATTCGACTACCCGGGGGAGAAGCCAACTCCTACCGGGCGCGTCCCCAGGTGGCGGATAGGGGAATGCCACCCGCTTAGGGCGGCGGGTGGTACCGGAGAAATCCGGCGCGGACCAAATGGCTTGGGTGGGGCCGCTCGTCTAGGCCTCGAGCCGAAGACGTTGCGGCCACCGGTGGTGGGACCGTTTGGTCCCACAACCGGATGATGGGTGCCGGTTGCGGGACTGTGGTCGCAGGCCCGCATCCGGCGGAGGAGTAGGCCGCGGCGGGAGAGGAGTGCCGGTATTTCGGTGCGACGTTCTCCCTACCTTCCGCGGCCTAGACGGGGCCGCCACCGTTTGTTGGCGGACGCGGTGGGGCTGCAGGGGAAGAGGAGTGTCGGTGTTTCGTTGCCGCTCTCCCTGTCCTCTGCAGCCGATTGGAGGTGGCCCACTTCGGTGGGCGGTGTTTTGGTTTAATAGGGCTGCTCCGGGTACCTCTCTGGCGTAGCAGAGTTGACTGTGGAGCAGCCCCATTGGTTTGGTGGTCTGCCTTTTTAGGCAGACCTGCCGCCGGGGCGCCGTAGTAGTTATGCGCAAGCGATCCTGCGGCGTCCCATTAAGGCGGAGGGGAGGGGAATGTCGGGTTTTAGTGGGTAGTACCGGCTCTTCTAGCCGGTGAGCCCCACATCACCACCTGGGGGATCAGGTGGTATGCGTAAATGCATTTCCCGACATGTTATTCGACTAATATTATATAGGCCTAATTTGACTTATTTATCTTGAAAAGACGGCGTTTATCCAAATGCTTATGAATAAATTCAAGTTAGAAAATTATATACACAAAAGACGTATAAGCATTATTTCGTCTTCCTTTGCTTATGCGCTTTTGTACAAATAGAATGTCTTTATTCATTTTCCATAATTACCAATAACAAATATCCATACAAATTGCGGCATCTATTGATACTTATATATATTTTTTCTTCCATGTTTACGAGACCTCATGGGTAACTTTTGCGATAGCCCCTTAAATCAGTCAAGTCATTTGCCGATACCTGTCGCGGCTGCGCGGGCGGCGACACGGGGCGCGCGGGGTGCGCGGGGCGCGCGCGGCCCACGCGCGGCGCGCCTCCCATGAGGCTCGTCACGGCGCGATAGCTCGAGTCCAGCTGCAGCGGCTGCGCACAACCACACGTGTCCCGGCACGGCACGTAAACTGATTTTGCTCGCGGTATGCTCACGTTTACTTAATAAATGTACGTAGTTTTGTATGGCATTAGTTAGTGGAAGAGATGTATGTACGAGGCATGCCTTTTAAGTTTTGTCGTTTGAAGAAAAAAACACAACTAAAACCTTATAGTACTTTTTATTGTTTTTCAAAGTATTCACCACGTAGCTTAATACACTTTTCCATTCGCTCAAACCAGTTATTATAACATTTATTCCACTCTAAAGTGGGGGTGTTCAAAATGACTGACTTGAAAGCGTCGACTGCTTCTTCACCGGACTGGAACCTCTGACCACGAAGATTTTTCTTAATTTTAGGAAATGTAAAGAAATCGTTAGGGCTTAGGTCAGGACTGTATGGAGGATGGTCAAGAATTTCTCCTTTTTCCTGCTTCAAATACTTAATCGTTTGACGAGCGCTGTGTGAGCTTGCGTTGTCGTGGTGCAGGATGATGCGTCGCTTTGAGTTAGATTTTCGAAGTTCGGCGATGACTTGTGGTAAACAAACTGTGGTATACCACTCTGCGTTAACCGTTCTACGATCTTCAAGTGCAATAGTCGCAACATGGCCGGTTTTTCCAACGAACGTGGCCACCATCTTCTTTGAAGTGCTTCGAGAACGAAAAACTTTAGTCGGCTTTGGCTCGTCTTGAAAGACCCAGATTGTAGATTGTTGTTTGGAATCAGGATCGTAGGCATAGATCCAAGATTCGTCACCACTGATAATGTCGTAGACGTGTTTTGACTCTCCTCGGTTGAACCTTTGCTGAGTTTTCTTACACCATCTGACGCGGGCCGCCTTGTGATCGTCGGAAAGCAGATGCGGTATCCAACGACAAACTAACTTTCTCACACCAAGCGCTTCATGCAAGATCTTCTGAATGGTTGTCCCTGAGATGCCTAATAAAGCCTCTATCTCTCGATATGTCACATGACGATCTTCGAGAATTAGTTGTCTCACAGCAATAATGTTATCTTCAGTGAAGGCGGATTTTGGGCGTCCTTCCTGAGATTTGTCACTAACACTAGTATGTCCACGCTGGAATTCTAAATACCAGCGTTCGACAGTCCGCAGACATGGGGCTTCATCACTGAATACAGATATTAGCTCTTCAAAACACTGAAGCCGTGTCAGGCCTCTTCTAAAGTTGTAAAAAATTATTGCACGAACATTTTCCTTAGAAAGATTCATTTTCGTACATAACCTGACTGATTCCAATCGACGCTGTGACTAAACAATAGCATTAATCCTAAAACTTTTAACTGTTTTGAGATTCAAAATTTAAACACATTCGAATATGTAACAGTTCCAAATTCAAAATTGCCGGGAAATATGGAAACGACAGAACTTAAAAGGCATGCCTAGTATATACTATACGTAATGTAGCAACCCATTATTTCAACAGCGACAGCAGATTTATTTCAATTCAATCAGACAAAAATAATTGTACACTGCAAAATATATGTGTATATATATTTTAGAAGCTAAGGAAAATATATGTTTCAATGCAAATGTATGAATAATGAGAACTCTGGATGAAAGCAAATATCATTATACAAAAATAATATATAAAATGAATCAATATAACATTTAATATTACATATATTGCTATATAAAACAATATATTGTAAATGGTGCGAGATGTATAGATCGTAGATCAGTGAATATTTCGCTACCATACACCTATAGTCTAAGATCCAGATCTATGTGGTGAGCCCCTCACGCTTAAACCATAAGACATATTAACAAACACGCCCCCCTAGGTCGTGTCACCAAAAAATTTGCAGGCTATTTTTATTTAAAAAAAAAGTTTTTTTTTCCTACTACTAGTCTTGCCTTGTCATTCATTATATGTAATGGTTTAGGGGCACCGAGGCAGCGAAACATAATTACGAAATAATTGCGTTCCTTTAATCCCTTGCTGTATTGTTATTTCTAAAACTATTTTATTATGCAATTAATATGTAGGATATTTAAGGATTTATTCTATAAATCGTATACTTTAGAAACACGATTACTCGTAGTTTTCTCGATAGAAAAAAAATCCAAAATGATCTCTAAAAAATAAAATTAACCCTTAGTGCGGCGTAAATAATTCAAGGAAGTTCAACAGTTTTTAATAATAACAAAACTATACGTTTTCTATATCGTCTACACTTTACATTTTCAAAATGTGTATTTGTTCTAATAACACGAACGAAATACCTAAATTCGCACGCGTTCCGTCCATCCTAGCCACACTCCCCTCTGTCCGCTTTATTCCTACTAAAATCAATTAGTGCCAAAAACTCGGTGCCCCCTTAAAAATACAGTTACAACTTACAACTACAATAATTTGTTTTGTCAATGAAAACAAGATTGTATTAAGTATTCTATAGAAAGAAATGGTAGATCGCTTTCTTTATGTACATATATAAAAATAGTCATATTGTCAAGGAATCTAAAATGTTGCAAAGATCAATTCTAAATGATGTAAATGAAACAAAATATATTTGATCTCTCTTTTCTACTAATGCTGAAACCATACTAGAGTCAAAGCTCTTAATAGTCGCGTGTAGTATACCTATAATAGTTAGACGTAGAGGTTATTTAGCTGGTAATTTTAATAATGGCATTAATAATACCATATATACATATTTAAGCCATTTAAATCGTAAATTTTCCTTAAATCCTATGTTACCCATAGACCACTAACAGTTACCGCTGCTGGTGTCGAATCTAAGGTATATTTTGCCAAAATTTGAATTAATTAGTTTAGCTGACAGGCGTTAACTTATTATGAATTATTTTTATTATATTTCAATTGTATTGATTAATTATATTTTAGGGATTTATTAATAATATTTAATGTATATAACTCGCGTCATCTAAAAAGAACGCTGGCTGTCAAGCTGCGCAGAAGCGATTTATCGGTCAAATTGGTGGTAAGAAGCGGGGCGCGGGGCGGCGGGGCATGCGCCGCATGCTTGCCGGCGCACTATTGGTTCGTCAGTTCGAAATACCATCGCGCACACAGAAGTTTTTAATTACGAAATGGTTTTATATTATATAGAAAAGAGAAAAATTATTTTTGACGTATATTGTTTTACAAAGAGAGAGCCTGATAATAATGCAGTTAATAATTTAAAAAAATGTATTAAACGTATTAATATAATTTTTTGTAAGTAGATTAAACATTCTACACTGAATCAAACATATTTTAATAATGAATAGAATTCTATTTAATGATATTCTATCTAATACATTTTTCAATGTCTAATATAAATTTCAACCAATAACTAATATATGAAGCCGCGAGCGAAATGCTATGAAAAATAAAATAATAGGCTTAGTACTTTTGTGCGCGAGAATACCCATGCGCAAACATACCATCTCCACTTTCTTCCAGCGTTCTTTTTAGATGACACGAGTTATACTTTGGATTATGTAATTATAGTGAGTGTTATGTACACTTGTAAACACATACATTACTATAATATATATTATGTGTTGTGTGTAATTTTATAAATAAATAAATAAATTTTATATCACCTCTTTTATGAGCGCGACGACATGCGACGTACGTGTCATATTATAACAACAATTGATACCCATAAAAAATAGAACTTTCACAAATTTTCTTCAACATTGAAAATTAAAAAAAAAAACATGTAATTGACCAACTTCTTTATAATCCCAGCATGACTGCGATCTCGGCATAACGATAGAAACTTACCTTAGGGTCTACAGCGACGGTCGACTGCGAAGTAGAGGAGGTGGTGTTGCAGCTCGCCACAACCTCGGGCGTCGTGATGCAACTGAACGGTATGGCCGAGTCCACCTGTAGCAGAACGAAACACTGTGTAAAATATTATTTAAAAACCGATTTATTTTACTATCGTCGACAGAATAACATGCTGGCAATATCCAATAGATTTTGAAAATTACTTTAAAAAATAACACATTACATTATATATATGACCGTATTGACAACATATCATTCGTAGCCGGTATACAATTTATTCCATTCCTACCTCAAGGTCCTCGATAGATTTCTTTTTAACTGATTTATATTTGTCACTATCTCTGTAAAGAAGCATTTTCAAAGCACTTTTATTCATATTGCTGTTGGCTGTATTCGATGTTACTTGGTTTTGTTTTTTCTTGGATTTCTTATTAGTATTTTTATTTGCATCGACATCGTTAGTATTGTTATTGGCGATTTCCTTAATTTTAACGGTCTGTTCGTTTTTGTTACAAGCGGCTGTGAGAAAGCTTTTTGGAAGTGTTAGAAAAATATAAGCGTTATCTGGTAATTCAGTGATGACAAATTGTTCATTCGGTTTTTGTACGTCTTCCTTTGTTATTGAAAGTGCAACATCTTTTGATATTTTATTGTCAACGTCCATTACACTCGACTCATCGATATTTACGTTTTTATCATCAACTTCTGCAATTTCTTTAAATTGGCTTTCGATATTGACCTGATTTTGTGCAGAAATATCATTATTGTTATTTATTTCTATAATTTCCATTAGTTTATGTTGGTTAGAGACGAATTCGGAGAAAGAATGATATGTATCAGGAATTGTATTATATGAAATATCTACAAGCTCAATGTCTGTATTATTTGAAATTTGTTTCGGGTATTTTGAGATCATTTCAGTCATTTCTATGCTAGAATGTGTTTCTGTTTCTGGACGTTTTGAGACCATTTCGCTCATTTCTATTTCAATATTAGTTTGCTTTCCTACTTGTGTTTTTGGGAATTCAGACTCGTTACTATATTGAAGACTGTTTGTGGCGATATCGTCACTATCTTGAGTTTTTATATCTTTACATACAACGGAACGGTTGCCATCAATTTCCACTTGAAATTCTTTACGCTTTTTTTTCTGTGACTTCTTTTTAGTATTACTTTCTTGTGTAGGTAAATATAAAGGCTTGCCTATAGTCATACTTCTGAAATTCTTTGGATTTATTGTTGATATACTCGGTGCCACTAAGTCATGGCCTACTCTTTCTCTATACTCTTTCCTTAAACTAATATCACTTTCGTTATCATCGAAAACATTTCCTCCGTTTCCAATATTATCACATTTAGCTTTATGTACGTTACTAGAAATATCTTTATAAAACGAATCTTTAAATTGTTTATTAATATTAAGTGTTCTATGTTGTGCGCTACTAGCACTATTAGTATCGTTTTTATTCTTCGATAAATTTTGCCTATCTACGTGGAGTTGTTTATCAGTTTGTGACTTATTAGTGCTCTTGGACTGTAAATTACTATGAGCGACACTAGAGTTGTGTTTGATGCGATCTACGGGGTCGTAGCGGCCTAGCGTGCTGTACCAGGCGGCCACGCTCTCGGCCCACAGCGCGTCAGCGCGGGCGGCTGGCGCGGCGGGCGCGGGGCCGCGCGGGTCACCACCGCGCAGCGCGCGCAGCAGGCGAGCCTGCGGGGAGGGCGCGGGGCGCACGGCGCGCGGTGGGGAGTGGGGGGTACGCACCTGGTTGGACGCGGTGGTGGTGGTGACCGCGCGGCCCGAGCACACGCTGCCGCTGCCGATCTCGAGCGTCGCTCGCGCTGTGTACGTCATCGGGAACACCGGCTTACTCCTTCTGCGGGCAACGTTTGCTCTACGTTCATATATTTTATCTATTTTTCTATTTATTTATTCTATCTATTAGCATGTTTGGAAAAAATATGAGTAAAATCTTTAAGATGCACGCGCACACCGACAGCCAAAATGAGAGTTACAAACAGAGAGTTGTGACATACGGGATAAAATCTTTAGCTATTTTTGTTCTGTTACGCCATAGAAGTATAACCTTTTACGTACGTACATAAGTACACACACACGTTTTTTTTATCATTCTCTTTACGGACTAGACAGTATATTATGATGGACATAAAACGATAGCCAATAAAACCGGACGATTCGGTCGTTTTATATATCACATAACCGAAATATAAGATACTAGCGACTAACTCTCGCTTCGCTCGGATTCGTCCCTAGGTTGAATCTCCATACAAACTTTCATTCAAAATTTCACCCCCTTAAGGGATGTTTCCGGCATAAAAAGTATCCTATGTCCTTCCCAGGGTGTCAAACTATCTTCATACCAAATTCCATCTAAATTGGTTCAGTAGATCCAGAGGTTACCCTCTACAACGTCACAAACTCACAAACTTTACCTCTTTATAATATTAGTATAGATGCATAGTAATAAATATTTCACGAGTAGCATTTAGTCTCCACAATTTTGCTATAATGTAATTAAAGAGTACGAATATGTACGAATATCAACTAAGAATACTGTGAAAGGTACAAGGTACGCTATTTAAAAGTTCTTATTTTATACGTCATTATGCATTGTGGTTCATGATGAGTGGTTCCCGAGACGTAATATGACACTAATTATCTCATTATCCAGCTACAGCTCCAGCGATCCTGGAGTCTCCGTTGCAGCCTAATATAGTTATAGTTTTTTTTGTTAAGAAATCCTCAGTAGCAGGACACAAGTTCAAACCCCCGTACATTGAATAGCATGTTAAATTGTTGGTTCTGCACTTGACCTCTTACCAGGAATTATGAATAAAGTTATTATACCGTATACAATGTGAAATACTAAAAATGCATTCTTAGAACACACTATAAGTTACTAAATATGTAGGTACTAATAAAAACCGGTCAAGTGTGAGTCAAATTCGCACACGAAGGGTTTCGTACCATCGTATATATACTTAACGTTAAAAAAAGTTTCTTATATTTTTATTTATTTTTATTATTTGTTGTTATAGCGGCAACAGAAATACATACTCTGTGAAAATTTCAACACTCTACGGTTATTACGGTTAATGAGATACAGCCCTCTGACAGATAGTCGGACGGATTGCGGAGGCTTAGTAAAAGGGTTCCATTGGCACCCTTCGGGTACGGAACAGTAAATATGAAAGACATAATATCCGCTGTCATTCGATTCCAACCACAGCGACTAATCTCACGGTAATCTAGCCATCTGCGCAGGATATTATAGTGCACAAGTGTACGCGCTGACACAACGTGCACTCTCTATTCCTTTCACTCTCGGACGACAATTCGATCGAAGAGAGATAATAAAAAACCGAGATGTTTTATTTGCTATCCATCGAACAGAGTAAAACACCCCCAAAATCCCAATTCTGCGCTGTCATTGGGATTTTTTTTACAGAAAATAACTATTATTGTTTCAACCTGGGACTCGAACCCAGGACTTCCCGATCTGCAATCGCAAACATGCTAACCACTAGATCAAAAATGTGGTAATATAATATTATCGAATACGTAACATAAGTGGGCAGCCTTATAGCGTGTTTGCCTACCGAGCGGCCGTAGGTAATTGTTTCAAGGACACTGCCGGAACAAAATACTGCTTAATAATTATTATGCGCTATAAGCTACTACTGTCGATGTTGTTTTATTATTCGTTTTGCATCAAAATGTACAAATAGCAAACACAGATTATGAAGGCATTCACTTAACTTAGCCCATAGGTAACGCGCTCGTTTGGGAAACCGAGTGAAGCGGGTTTAAATCCCGGGTCTCGCATCTCTGATATTTTCATGTGCGAATCATTTCTAACATGATTACCACCTGCCTTATGGCGAAGGAAAACATCGTGAGGAAACCTGCACGTCTGATCAGCGTGGTGGACTATGGCCTGATACCCCTCGTACTGAAGGGAGGCCCACCCCCAGCAGTGGGACGTTAAAAAGGGCTAAATACAAAGCGGTAGCCGGTACCTGGCGGGCGCGTCGTCCGCGAGCGCGTGGTTCGCGGCGGGCTCGGGCGCGGCGTCGCCGGCCGACACGCGGCGCTCGGCCAGCGGCGGCGGGTTGACGCAGCGCACCGTGGCCAGGTAGCCGCCGCGCGCCGCGCCCGCGCCCGCGCCGCCCGCCGCACCCGCCTCCTCGCTCAGGAGGAACGCTGCAATTGTTACGTGTACGCACTATATATATTATTATCTATAGAGATAAATTAAATTAAAGTGTCTGTTTGGAATGACAAAATAACAGCGTTTTAATAAACGCATATGAAATTATATACGGTACTTATAAGAAAAATACAATTTTTAAATTTTTGTCTGTCTGTCTGTTTGTTCAAGCTACAATCCGAAACGGCTGGACTGATTTTGACGGGACTTTCACTTGACAGATAGCTGATGTTAGAAGGAGTAACTTGGGCTACTTCTAGGGTAAGTCGCTAGTGAATGCTATGATTATATGTTATTGTATAACGAAAATATTAAAAGATGTATCATTTTTTATAATAGAGGGTCAGATATATTTTTTTGAATATGAAGCTTCACAAGTTGAATTACAAATCTAGTCGTTAAGGAATTTAAACTTATAATCACTATATTATGATCAACATGAAAATGTACAAGTAACTTTTATCTCCCGAAACAACACAGAAATTATTTTATCGACGACCGACGTACGCACCTAGATAAGCGGAGCGGAGAATAAAAATGGCCCAATAATAAATAACATATAACATATATATGGTATTGATAGTTCAGTGGTAACACACACGCTTGGAAAAAAAAGTACTCTTAAGCGGATTCGAATTCAGAGTCTCGCATGTCCGATATGCTCAGGTGCAAATCATATTTAACATGATTATCACTCGCCTTACGGTGAGAGAACCTTACATGTTAACAAAACATGTGAAGTCCGTCAACATGCACTACACCAGCGTGGTGGAATATGGTCTGACCTCTCTCGTATTGAATGGAGGTTTATATCTAGCACCGGGACCGTAATATATTGTATGACATTCATCGATCAAGAAAGCACTAGATACACAATCCCATGCAAGTTCTTTTAAAACTGTCAACTGTTGTATTTAGGTAAGTATTCTGGCTGAAATAAATATATAACAATATAAATTGAACCTTAAATGCAATGTCTAAAGTTGCTTTCACAAAAAAAAGCGCGCTCAGACGTTCAAATGAACGCTCATTCGGTGAGCACTTTTTTTGTCGCTTATTGTGTATCTATAGAAAATAGTGAGTCATCAAGTGCAACGGCAGGTAAAGGTGTATACAAAGTGGGAGTAAAAATTCAATTCAAATTCAATATTTCATAACATCAAGTGTAATAGATAAAAATCAACTTAATTATCTTATTTATCTCAAATATTGAATTGAGATGATAATAACTTTATTTTGATTTGTGATAATTGATGAACATAATTTTCTCAAATCAAAATAAAGTCATTAATAATATATTTAAGTCTGCCTTCAACTGGTCATTGTGAAATATGACTTTATAATTTTATGCAATCTAATTGGTCGGAAGGCGTGGCTAGGCCGGTGGACACTGATGACTCACTATTTTCTTAACGCGAATGAACTGTAGTACTTCTTCGATCGATGATGAGATTAACATAACGCAACATACAAGTGTCGACGCCGGAGGGCAGACTGCCGCCGTGCAGCGCGCGCGCCGACACGCTGGCGGCGGGCGGCGCGGCGTGCGCGGCGTGCGCGCGCCCGCGCCGCGGCACCGCCTCGCCCGCCATCGCCGCCACTAGGTCCTGAGGTTGGTATAATGTAAGGTTTCATCAGCGTTGGATTTACACTAGGGGCACTCGTGGCTAGTGCCCAGGGCGGCAAAATTCGGGGTGTAGGAAAAAAATCTTCGCTTTATCGAAAATGTTTTTTTTTTATTTTCCAAAAAATAAAAATTAGAAGAAATTGAAACTTTATCGAAACTATGTACCTATTTTATGCAAAATTTCGATAATAGAGCGGCATTGTTTACTATGCCCAGGGGCGGCGCTAAGGTTAAATCCGGCCCTGGGTTGTATTATTTAAATACAAGTTTTAATAAAAAAAGCAATAGCCTTATCGGACTACTATTATTATAAATGCAATGAAAGTTTGTATGCGTGTGTATGTTTGTTAATTCTTCACACAAAAACAGCTGAACAGATTAGGATAAAATTTAGTATACAGAAGTTAGGTACCTAGGGACGCATCCGAGCGGAACGAGAGTAAGTCGCTAATTAATAGGCGTGATTTTTTTTAATTTTTTAAACAATAGCTAACATCGTAAAATTGTAAAAAAAAATATCCATGTCCAAAAAACTATTATTTATATATATGTCACATCAAAATATGAAATTCATTAAAGCTGTACTGTACAAAATTCTATAGTAATACTATAATTATTACTATAGAATAATACATAATTCAAATATTACTGTATTACATGAATTAATACATAATAAAAATATCTAGTTTAGTGTTGCGGTATCCAAAATACAAGACGTAACCATAATGATTTTCGTACTTAGAAGTTGACACCTAAACAAGAAGTGACATAAGTAACTCTTTATCTTAATATATCAATTATTACTGTATCAGAAAATGACGCAAGTGCGTAATGGGCCCGAGCCAACCAACGAGCCCACCTTGGTGTAAGCATAATAAACACTAATAAAAAAAAAAAGAATCATTTAATTTGAATCAGATTTAAACCAAGGGCAAATAGAGAAATCTATAGTATAGTATTTCACATAAAACATGATAATGGTTAAATTACCTGTAAGCTCGAGTGATGTTCGCGGCGGCCGCGCCCACGCCGGCCCCCGCGCCCCGCGCCCAGCTCGCGCGCCGCCGCCTCGCACGCCTGCTCGTCTTGTTCCACCTCTTGCAGAAGATTCTGCGAATACATTTCATAACTAATAATAAAACAAAACATATTATAATGAAATTTAAGTTATAATCCTATTAATATTAAACGCAAAAAAATATGAGAATTATGAATTATGTTTGTTATTATTTCACATAAAATCTATTGAACGGATTTTGATGAAACGTCCAATTTTTTTCAAATTTAAAATTCATAATTCTAATTTATGAATTACTATGAATTTTGGAGAATTATTTCTTTTATTTGTAAGGCAATAATGTAGCATTACTAAACAATTTAAATTAAAAATACTTAGCTGACATCTTAAAAAAAGAATTTGAATAATGTTAAATTAATAGTAACCTTCAATGAGAAGAATTTTCGAGCTTATTCATCTATACATATAATAAAATTGTAGTTAAGCCTAATCTGTACATTAGATATTTTTTGGAAAATCTTATTGAAATACATAAACATTATTATCGATACAGAGGCCGAATCTATAGTTTTTAGAATTTTTGTCTGTCTGTTACAGCATCACAGAAAAACCACTGGAGAGATTTTGATGAAATTTGGTATGATGATAGCTTTTATCTGGGTCGACATATAGGATACTTTTTACCGCGCGAAAATGTCTAATTTCTGAGAAAAATACAAAAACTGCAATGTAAGAGTATACTCATATGTAAAACCTAAGAATTTGGTTTTTGGTCTTCTGAACGCGGGCGGAGCCGCGGGCAATGCTAGTATAATTATAAGTCTTGGATCATATAATTTAAAAGTTTCACATAATTCTAATTTAAAATATTGATGTTTTTAATTAAAATACCTTGAAAAGTATACTCTTCCCCTCACGGTCTTTAGGACATTTATATGTGATAGCCTCATCTAGTAGCGCACGCAGTTGACCATCGTCGAGTGTTTCAACATGTTTGTTGTTCTGAAACAAAAAAGAAAAATTTTTCTATAAAGATTTTAGTTTGTACATATCTAATAAATAAATTTATTGGAATCGTTATATAGATAGATGGTTTTATACCTACAAGCATAGATATTTTTAATATCACGACCACAGAACCGCAATAAGATGAAGGTGTAAATGATATACTAATCAATAATAATCGTCAATATCATAATTAATATAGTTAATATTCTATTCATGTCAATTATCATCTTTACCTACTATTAAACTACAAATATTATAAATGCGAAGGTAACTCTATCTGTTACGTTGTCACGCCTAAACCCTGAACCAATTTTAATGTAGTTTGGTATAGAGGGATTGGGCCTTGGAGAAGGACATAGGATACTTTTTGTCGCAAAAATGAAACTTGAAAGGGCTAAAATAAGGGTTGAATATTGTATTGGGAACAAATCATTTCTCAAGTTAAGGATAAAAAATTACTTATCTATACAGATAAATAAAAATAATGTCTCTGTTTGTAATGTCAAAATAACAGCTTTTTACTAAATGCGTATGGAACTATATACGGTATTTATAAGTAAAACACATTTTTTTTTAAAAATGTCTGTCTGTTTGTTCCCGCTAATCTCCGAAACGGCTGGACCGATTTTGATGGGCCTTTCATTAGCAGGTAGTTGATGTTATAAGGAGTAACTTAGGCTACTTATATTTCAGTAAAATAATTAGGGTTTTGCTCAAAAAGATTTAAAAAGTACCTATGGACGAACCCGAGCCAAGCGAGGATGAGTAGTAGATAACATAAAAATAAAAGAATTGATTTTCATTGTAAATAAATAGGCCAACCTATATGGTGGATAGGGTTTTTTAAGCTATCAATACGTGGTAGTGTCATTGCTACGTAGTTATACTAGCGACTTACCCTCGCTTCGCTCGGGTGCGTCCCTAGGCAAGTTTTCATTTTCCTGAACCAAACCCTAATTATTTTTCTGAAATAAAAGTAGACGAAGTTACTTCTTATATCATTACCTATCGGCTATCTGCCAGTGAAAGTCCCGTCACAATCGGCCCAGCCGTTTCGGAGTTTAGCCGGAACAAACAGACAGACCGACAAATTTTAAAAATCGTGTGTTTCTTGTAAATACCATATAAAATTCCATATGCATTTAGTTAAAAGGTGTTATTTTCACATTACAAACAGATACTTCAATTTTATTTATCTGTATAGATATATACTCGTATAATAAAATTGTAGCTAAGCCGAATCAGTACATTAAATATTTTTTTGAAAATCTTATTGAAATAGACATTATTATCGATACAGAGGGCAAATCTATAGTTTTTAGAATTTTTGTCTGTCTGTCTGTTACCGCATGACGAAAAAACCACTGGAGGGATTTTGATGAAATTTAGTATGATGTTAGCTGGTTATCCGGGTCAACATATAGGATACTTTTTACTGCGGGAAATATGTCTCTAAGAAATCTATACTAAACCCTAAAACGTAAGTAGGGACGAACCCGAGCGGAGCGAGGGTGAGTCGCTAGTTATCTACTAATAATAGTGTTGACTCGTCACCATTATTGCGTTATGCGAAAAAGCCTTACCTCACTTACCTAAAATAAATCCAGTCATTTTCCCGTAATGGCCTAAGAGCCTGTGAACGCCAGACCTTCGTCATTTTATAAAAGCTGAAATTTTGTCAGCGCATGCTCCCAACACAGATAAGAACGATGGACCATTATGAAGTTCAGGCTATGGTGGCGTTGGCAGGTACACGGTACTAAAGGTGTGTAAAATACCGATCTAAATTCGTCAAATAATAAAGTGTGATTTTTTGGTATTACCTTCAGAATATTATTAAAAATCACGTCTTTCAATGCCAGACACATTTAATACACACCATGAAAAATGTTCCAAACAAGTTGGGAGGCATTTCTAAGAAAATGTTGCAAATGGTCACACATACACACCTTTAGTACCGTGTACCTGCCAAAGCCACCATAGCCTGAACTTCATAATGGTCCATCGTTCTTATCTGTTTGGGAGAATGCGCTGACAAGCTTTCAGCCCTTATAAAATGACGAAGGTCTGGCGTTCACGGGCTCTTCCTCTATAACAATGGTAGGTTACGTACCTTAAAAATAAATTAGTGTTCTCATTTTCACCCCAGGATGTTTAAAAGCCGAGTTCGTTAACAAGTAATTTAGTGATAAGATAATCGGCCGCGTTCATCGTGGTGAACTATTATTACTTATTAGTTACTTACATTACTTGGAGTGTTTTAAAGTACCCGTCATTTTGTAGATACTTCAAATATTTACTTTCTTCTGAATATCTTACTACTTTTAATAATATTTTTGTATGTTCTTTGATAACTACAAAAATAGAATTAGCGATTGCTGTATTATATATTTAAATACATAATTGGTTGCTTTAGTAGTATTATTCTGAGATATAAATTGAAAGGGCAGTTTACATAAAATATATATAAAATCTCTGGGCAAGAACTAAGTGAGTTGAAGCGTTGGAAACAACCAACCACTACTGACACATATTCTCGCAGATAAAAGTCGAAAATAGATAATAGGATTAATTAGGGATACTATTATATTTAGTTATTTATGCTTTTTTATTGACTTATGCAATTTGTTGCATTTTTGAACCCTCAACACATCAAGAAATTGATGTTTTTGCATTTATGCGCTAAAATGGCAGTAACATAGATTACATTTTATCATAAAGCTATCATCCCATGGGATATATCCTTTGGCAAAATAATAATAAATACAAAGTTAAAGCAAAAAAAAATTAAAAACAATTTTATAACTAGAAATAAACTAGGTCAATAGGTTTGATGTACAGAAAACATTTAAGAAGCCAATGTTTGTTACAGACGCGTAACTAATTTCGTAATTATGTTTCGGTCGATTGGATGCTGAATCATTAAATTCAAGGTTCCGCGCGCGAATCCTAGAAATGCTTACCTATTGTCATAAAAAAGCATAGGTATTAATAGTTTATATTATAAGTAAATAACAATTATTATTTAAGGTCTTTAACGTCCCATTCCCGAGTCTCGTCATTGCGAAGATAATCAGGCCAAAGTCCACCATGCTGGCCAAGTACAGATCGGCAGACGTCACACGCCTTTCGAAAATATTTAATTACTATCAGAAATACAAATTTCCCCATTATGTTATTATTCACCGTATTAGCAGTAGTTATATAACAGTAGTTATATTTAACAAATAAATAGCACGTGAAAATGTCAGAGTGACGGATTCAAACTCGTTACACTTGGATTTTCAAGCGAGCGTGTGTGCAGTGTGCTACCAGCACCACTACTTATCATAAACATGCAGAACAAAAAAAACTATCCTTGCTTGTGAAGTAGTGACACAGTATGAAGCAAACTTAGTATCTCAGTCGTCATTGTAAATCTTTCCTAGTAATAAGATCATCAATACTTATGTTAGATAATTGACTTAACGTAGTGCATTTATTGCAGGTTCATCGCTCACTAGCTACGAGGTCAAATTAAATAGTTGGAATGATCATTTAGACTTATAAAAATTTACTTAATAGCTGGAGAGCTAGTGAACCCTGGGAGTAACGGTCTCCCTGTAAGGTTAGAAATTTGTCTATTTACGATTTATGGCATGCTAAGAGCAATAGCCATGACCTGGCAGGCGTCAGCACTGCACGTCATCAGCCCCTTTATTTTTTGAACTGTTTAGTAAATTGAGTTTTAAAACTTGTTTCTGTAAATTTGAAAATTTAATAGGATGAAGTTTATTTATTGTACATCTTAAAAAAAAATTGACAGGCGATTACAATAAGCAGAAGTATATGACAGATCAATTAGAAAACCCACAGTTGATGAGGTAAAATAAACTTTATCCTGTATACTTAAAATTTTTATATGTTTTCAAGTAAACGTCTCAGAATAAATATGTACAATGCCAGGCGGTTTTGAACAGAATAAGACCTTGACAGGCGAGGGGACAGGGAGCTGCTAAGGGCGTGCAAATAAGAAATGTTACATGAACGCATACAGTAAATGCAATGTATTTTATTGGGTTTTATGCAATTTACATTATTTTTAACATTCATTTTCTTCAGTATAATCCGAAATTTCGCTATCACTGTTTTCATCATCATCTGATTCTTCAACAATGTTTTCCTCATCTGAAAATAGTAAAAAAATATTTGAATGAATCAATAAGGTTGTTAAGAATTAAATATCAAGCTCAATTACGTAGGACTGCATATTAAATGTTACGGAATAAAATAGTTGTATGTTACCTGAAATGCATTCCTCAGTTTCAGTCGATTGTGCTGTGGCAGTATCAGCAGGCCCTTGTAAAAGTATGTCGTATATAGAAGATGGAACCGTATTCCCCTCAAACCAATTAAAATTGTAACGACTATCAATTAAGTTCCAACCGTTATTTTCAGGTGTAAGAATTGTTGGTTCTTTTAAATTACAATTTCGCCATATATTTGTAACTAGCGGCTCACCCTCGCTTCGCTCGGGTTCTTCGCTAGGATTTAAATAGATATAAATAGTTATTAGCCAGCGTTAATCATATAAATCTTAATTTTTTTTTCGTGATTTTTCTGGTGTTTTAATACTTATTAACCTATTCCAGACTAAGAGAAATCCAAAAATTCAAATATCATAAAAATTGTTCCACCCATTCTTGAGTTTTATGTCACATCAGACGGGAACGCGGTCGAACGGGATAAAAATCCTATGTCCGTCTCCTGGTTCTAAGCTACCTCCCCACCAATTTTCAGCCAAATCGGTTCAGCCGTTCTTCAGTTATAAATAGTGTAACTAACACGACTTTCTTTTATATATATAAAGACTAGCGGCTCACCCTCGCTTCGCTCGGGTTCGTCGCTAGGTACGTTTTAAATAGATATAAAAAGTTATTAGCCAGCGTAAGCCATATAAATTTTTTTTTTCGTTAATTATTCTGATGTTTTAATACCTATTCCGGACTAAGAGA